CCGTTAAAACTCCCCTCGCCAGCACAAAACACAAACAATGCGCGGCGGGGAGGCCGGGGCCAAATTTTCGGAGCCCACAGATGCATAATTGCAACATATTCAATACTCCTATATTAGTAAGATTGAAGTTGACAAATGGAAAAAGAAAAGATATTGATCCTCCTCAATACAAAAGCTTATTATGAAGCTTGAGGTTCCTAGCCCCCTCTAGACCAAATATTGCCAAAGAGGTTGGATTTGTCAGTCGGCATGTGGAGGCACCAAGAGAATCGCATTGCCTTGCAGTAAAGAGAATTCTTAAGTATCTAAAAGACACAATAAAGTTTGGCCTATTATCCTTGTGACAGAAAATTACGATTATTTGCATAATGATTAGGAAGTTGATTGTGACAGTGCAAGAACAATATAAATTATTTTTTACCTAGGTAACACTGCCTTCTCTTGAACCTCAAAATTGTTACATTGTCCTTTTATGAAGTATAATATGTACCAACAACATTTAGTGCTTATGAAGCTACTTGGCTAAGAAATTTGTTGTAGGAGTTGTAATATTTACAAAAAGATCCAACAATAATCATTGTTGATGATAGATTGGCAATACAACTCACAAAGAATCTAACATATCATGGAAGGAGCAAGTACAAGATGAAGACAATGAAAGTTATTCTACAAGCTTCAACTGGATCTTGAAGTGCAAGAGCTTCAAGCATGAGAGAGATATAGAAATACAAGCTCAAAGCCACATGTAAGTTAAAGACATTAAATACAAGAATATAGATAATTTATGAGAAGGTTAAATTAACATAGAGATTTTTTATGTTATTCTGCATTAAGCAAATGTAGAGTTACTTATGTTAAATATTTGAAATATTTGAGGAGTTTTTTAATTGCATTAAGATGACATAATCCCTTGTTCCCTTATTCCATTTCTTATATATAATATATCATCGCTCCCCAGTGCAAGCATCACATAAAATATTTTTAAACTCTGAAAGCGAAAAGCAACAAAGGAAGAAAAGGATGACGCCCAACGCAATTAAAAAAAAAAAATCACTCATTCAAGAAATCGTCAAATTCCAGCCAGAGAGAAATGGGTGTAGTTAGGGTAAAGATTTTTATACTTTGAGTGCGTCGGCGCCACCGCCGTAGCTTCCATATTGAACGGCATGCATCGTCTTGTGAGCAGCCATGGCGGACTGAAAACGGGCGGGACTGAAGGAGGATGCTCTGCGAGTGAAGCAGAAGCGAGAGATATATTTATGCATCGTCTTGTGAGCAGCCATGGCGGACTGAAATTTAATAGAAAAGTTGAAAGTAATCTTTATAAGATGGAGAATATTTAAGGAGAAAAAAAATCATAGGACGCAATTGACTTGAAATAGTACCACTAGTTTAAATTAGATTATAATTGATCGTCATTCATTAGCAATAAAAAGGATTTGTAGTTTAATATATTAAAATTTGGAAGTTGTATTTTATTCTAGTATTCGGAGTTCGGAGGCGTTAAAGTTCATAATGGGTAGTGGTTGTTAAGATCATCTCCAACTGAAAATCTCATTTTACACTCCAAAAAACATTAATACTCTAAAGTGCAGTAATTCATCTTCAATCAAACTCCATATTTATCATAAAAAAAGAATGCGCCAAGTATATTCTTTATTCAACCAGAATAAATGAAGAAAAAAATGGCATTCTTGAACAATGCGACGCCAATTTGGGTCACTATTCGCTTCACGCAAAATGACGTTGAATCTGAAATTCAGTTGGAGCTCTGCCGCCACTACAAACACTCGTTTGGGGTTCAGTTGGAGACGCCCTAAGTAATAATTAATTTGTGTTGGATAATAATTGATGGAGGATGTCAAAAACTAGGTAATGGCAACTGGTTGCCTTGATTATTCTCCAAGAAAAATAGGAAAACAATTGACTTAAAAGGTAGGTGAAACCGTTGATGGAAGAATGATACTGGACATTGATTGTTGGCTAGCAATATATGACAAATATTAGGGGGGCATTTGAAGTTAAGTGACAATAGGTTATTTGGTTGTTATTCTTAGAGGGGAGATTAATCGGCCTAAAATGCAAGTATCATATGTAAGACATTTGTTATTAGCAATTGTTAAACATAGATGATAAGGAAAATCCAAATTTGGGCAATTTAGCAAGGTTAGCTTAATCATTCTCCTATGAGAATGAGAGGTTGGTTGAATTGAAATACATACATTGTATGTTAACAAATAGCAAATCCATATTCCATTTTTTTTAGCATTAGATGATAATGACAGGAGACATAATGAATCAAGCAATGGAGGAATGGTGGCTTGGTCATTCTATTGCTATAAAAGCAAACCAAAAGACCTGTAAAGAGGCAATCAATTAATACTAGATGTTGAACATCAGTTATTGGTAGACCTTAGATGCTAGTCATTTGCTAATGTTAGATATAATGCAATGGACAACGATCGATTTAATTGTTTACTTGAAAAGATGGGAGATTCAATCCCCTAAAAGGAGAATAGCAAATGTCACGAATTGGCAAAAGGGAAACCATAGTTGTTAATAGATGTTGAGCACTTGTTAATAGATGTTGAGAACGGTAGAATGAGGGATGTCATAAGCCATGTGATGGATGATGACCAACTTAGTTATTCTTCTACAATATTAAAGATTAGGTGACCTATAAGGCTAACATCAGGCATTGTTTGTTGGTGGATAATAAATAATGGGATGTTGAAAGCTAACTAATTGAGGATGTTGCTTGATTGATCTCTTGCTAAGATGAAATAATAGATGGCTTAAAAAGTGTGTGCTAGACATATATAAATATTCAGTGCCTTTATATATTGGTCTTTGTTAAATATTGTATAGAGTATGTCAGAAGTCGGGCGATATATGACATGCAACTTGGCCGTTCAATTGATAAAATACAGGATGGGGCAACCTAGAAGGTGGGCATCATAATATATTAATGATTTTAAAAGTGAGCTGATGAAAAACAACCATACTTGATACTTCTAACAAAGAAATGAGATTAAGCTACCAGAATATGATAAGTCAAAATTTAAATTTCATTATATTTTAGGTGTAAGCATGCCAGACTTACCATTAATATGTTAAGTATTCCTTAGAAGTGGCCCCTCCTCTCCCTTTAACATCTTTGTATCTTATTTTGCCTTTAATAATGATGCACAAATATGTAAGAAAATTTGGTTTATCAAGATGACAATTAATGAATAATACCAAGATTTCATAGCCCTATCATGCTTCTTAGCTAGAAATTTCAACCAACCATTATTCTCTTCTCTACCTACACTAAGGAAACATTTGTGCTTCCTTAGAAATCTCTTAAAATTTGACTATACGGACAAAAGTATCGCAATAAGAAAATAAAAATTTTGAATATTTATTATGTTCTTCTTGTTCAAGAGAATTATTTTATAAATAAATAAATTTTATTTGATTTGAATCATGGTATGTTCATAATATATCATAATTTAAAAAAAATGATAAAAAATATGATCCAAAACCAACAATTAAGATGATATTAATTAGTGTGGTTCATAACTTACTCTTTATATTTAATACTAATTTATCAGAACTACAATTATTTTAAATTTATAATAAAATTAAAAATTTTATAATTAGTTATTATTTGTTTATATTATTTAAAATTGTAATAAAAGGCAATTGCTTCCTATTTAATTGTTAATAAAATTTGTTGATATACATCTATTTTCCTGAAATTTTTATGTTGGATTTTAGATTTTTTTTATTATTATTTTTTATTTATTTTAGTTTGATTTCAATGGTGCGTTTGGCACTGTATAAATTCGGAAAAGAAACGATACATCTTCCATTCCTCTCCCGAAGAAACCGCGAGATCTATTCCCTTTCTCCTTCCCCTCATGGCCTCCTCAGCGTCGCCGGCGATCCTTCCGATCTCCAATTCCCAGCCGGCCACGGGGGTCAGTTCTAACGTCGATGGATCCGCCACTGCACAGTCTGCAGCTCCGGTGACGACCCCAGCTTTCCGCCTCTTCCTTTCCCGCCTTCAAGAATCCGTCCGCCGTTCCCTGTCAGATCGCCGCCCCTGGTCAGAGCTCGTTGATCTATCGGCATTCTCCCGCCCGGAGTCTCTCTCCGATGCAAACTCCCGCGTTCGTAAGAATTTCGCCTACTTCCGCGTCAATTACCTTGCCCTAATCGCCGCCGTCCTCGTCCTCTCCCTCATCACACATCCTGCCTCCCTTGTCATCCTCCTGGGACTGCTTGCATCGTGGTGCTTTCTTTATCTCTTCCGTCCCTCTGATCCACCGCTCGTCCTCTTTGGCCGCAGCTTTTCCGATCGTGAAACCCTACTTGGTCTAACTGGCATAACCGTCTTCGTAGTCTTCCTCACCTCTGTTGGATCTCTCATAATCTCTGCATTTATGATTGGCGTCGCACTCGTAGCCGCTCATGGAGCATTCCGCGTGCCTGATGATCTTTTCCTTGATGACCAGATGCCAGGCGGCGCAGCGACGGGATTCTTGTCGTTCCTTGGCGGAGGCGCTTCAACTGGAGGTCCGACGACCGTCCTTGCTCGTGTGTGACACATATCTGACACGGATCTTAATTCCAATCCATGAGGTTGGTTGGGGCTGCTTCTTATCTTCCAGTTGTTTATGTTTGAGTAGACATAAAGCGTTGTATTATTGTTTGTTCTTTGTTTGTTGTCATTCTGATACACGCTAGAGAAAATATCTAAGGGCCTATGATTTGTAATTTTTGGAAAACATTGAATTTTTTTTTTTTGGGGAAAATGGGGCAAGAAGCCCATATATTACTATGTAAGAAAGTTACAAGTAAGGTATAACAAAAAAGGCTAAACTCAGATAAAAAACTGAGAATAACCAAAGACCTATACCCCCTTAAGACAATGTAAATAGAACAAAATGAAAAACTGTTGGTTAAGGAACAGCCAACCAAAAAGTAGTTTGAAATCCCAAAGTTGGACTCAGACTGCTAATCGCACGTGAAGCAGGCACCGTCGAGAAAGCTATCTCCTGGTTGCCAAAAAGACCGTCCAAGGATATGATTAGCAGCTACATCATCGTCCCCAACCAAAATCCATCGAAATGAACGATTCCTGGTTGCTGAGAATAGCCATCCAGGAGACCGATCGCAGCAACCAACCATCAAAAATTCACCGCTCGAGAAAGAAAACAGAATTCCCCAAAAATTCCAGCACGCGTCAGTAGAATAGCATTCCCCCAAATGCTCCAGAGACGGATGAGCCAAGAACCAAAGAGAAAATACAGCCAAAATGTTCAAAATACAGAAGCAGCTCAGCAGAACACCCGCAAGAAATGACCAGTCAGGGGAAAAACCCCCCGAACTACACTCATGATCCAGATACATAATTCTTCCATGGAAATTGTAAATTTGTATAGTTTTTCCAGCTTTTAACTTTAGCCTCAACCGCAATTTTAATAGAGTGACAAAGAGAGATAGAACTCCTGAATTTAGAGTTAAACCTTCTTTCATTTCTTTCCCTCCAAATAAAATAAGTGGCACAGCAAGTGATCAGAAGAAGTAGTTCTTTTTGTTTATCGGTCTGAAACCTCTTATCGCCCAAAAAGTGTAAAACTTGGAGATGCCTAGGTCTCAAGAGAAACTCACCCAAATCAGGGATGAGTTGAGACAAAACCGAAAAGGCATAGTGACATTCAAAAAGGATATGAGCAGAGGTCTCAAAGTGACTAGAGCAAAGAATGCAGGTGGATGGCACATCTAAATTTCTCTTAATAAGTTCCTCCGTTGTTTTAAGTCCCCCCTAATGGAAATCCAAGAATAGATGGAATATTTAAGAGCATAATGCTTATGCCACACAAGATGATGCCAATCCACAATGTCCGCCTCTTTATAATAAAATTTGAGGAAAGAAGAAAAACAAGGCTTAACCTTATCAGACCAGTACAAAGTGTTTGAGTCAAGCCTAATGGTAGACGAGATTTTAGAGACCACCTCCCCAGTTTCCTTCCACAGGGGAGAAGCCAAACTCAAAGGTGGCTGCCACAGGGAACCATATTTCGCCATCAGAAAGGAAGACAGAGGGGTTTTTGTATCATGAATCCGGAATATAAGAGAGCAAAGATTAGCAAACTGGAGCCCCAAAAGATCTGGAATACCCAAGCCACCATTCATTTTTGGTTTGCACGTATTCTTCCAGGCAATAAGATGTAATTTTTTTGCCTCCAGATCACCAAAGAAAAGGAATTTTGCACATATTCTACTGAGTCTTTTAAGACAGGTTTTAGGTATGATGGCCCCTCTTATCCAATAAGCAATGGTATTGCAAACCGTGTATTTCAGGAATTGAAGGCGTCCCGCCATAGAAAGCAATCTTGCTTTCCACCCGGCTAAGTGATCGGTAATGGAGTTCATGAGTGGCTGAAAATCAAATTTGCAAGGCTTTTTGACAGAGATGGGCAAGCCAAGGTATATCATCTTCTCACAGCAAGTAGAGATGTTGAGAGCCTCACACACCACAGTGTGATCAGAGATGTAGTTTGATATAATAAGCTTACTTTTCTCATGATTCACTTTAAGACCGGTAACATTAGCAAAAAAATCCAAATTCTTCATAAGAACAGTGCAATTATGAGATGAGGCCTCCCCAAAAATGAGGAGATCATCCGCATAAAGAAGGTGAGACAATTTGATGTCATTCATTTGAATCCCAATATATCTATCATGAGAGTATTTGTTATCAATCAAGCAAGTGAAGGCGTCCATTGCAATACAAAAGAGGTAGGGGCTCAGAGGACACCCTTGTCTTATACCGGAAGAAGAGGCAAAAAATCCTTCAAGAGCACCATCAATACAGATAGAGAAATGAACGTTGGAAATGCACGCTCGAATCCAATGAATAAATTTAGGCGGAAAACCTTTTTGACCCTTTCTGAGAAGGATGAATTCTCTAGACACTGAATCGAAGGCCTTACGAATATCTAGCTTGGCACATAAAATATTCTTTTTAGCAGATTTTTTGAAATCCTTGAGGATTTCAGAAGCCAAGAGAATGTTGTCTGAAGAAATACGATCCTTTATGAAACCAGCTTGATTTTCCCCAATAATGAGCGGCATTATTTCCTTCATCCTGGAGGCTAAGATCTTAGAGATAATCTTGTAGAATACATTGCAAAGGGCTATAGGCCTAAAATCAGAAATATTAGAAGCATGAGCTGATTTTGGGATAAGAGTGATAGCAGTCGCCTTGGCAATATTAGGAAGATACCCTTTAGAAAAGAATGACTTAACCGCTTTGCAGACCAAGGGACCGATGAGAAGCCAACTTGATTTATAAAACTCGAAATTAAATCCATTAGGGCCAGGAGAAGAAGTGGAGCATCCCATGAAAACAACATCCTTAATTTCAGCATCTGTAACCATCATAGTCAGCAAATCAGATAGATGTGGGGGTATAGAATTACCTTTGGGAATGAGGTGGTGATCACAAATGGAAGCCGGTTGGGGAGAATTAAAGAGCTTCTCAAAGTGTTGTATAATAGAGTTTATCTTGTCTTGCCTCACATTAGGTTCATCACTAGCAATTAGAGTGCAACTGTGATTCCTTCTCTTTTTAATTCTGGCATAAAGAAATTTTAAATCATCTTCCCCATGCATTAAAAAATTGTCGTTGCAACTCTTCTACAAAATGCTTTATATATTTCATTTGAAGTTGTGAGAGATTTTTACGGCAAATTTAGCGTAAAATAAAATACTTGGACCTAATAAAAAGATAACTCAATAAACCAATTGAAGGCATAGTATATGTTGGGCGTGCCAAGTGTAGCTAAGACAACCCTAGCTAAAAATGTTGAATTGCTGTCAAGACTTTTTTACTAGATCTTTAAGGAATAAATAGAGAAAGATCTGCTAGCAAACAGCAGACTTTTTATTCTAGAAATTGAGCTGATACTTCGTTTCATTCAGCAAATGGCTGTTCGTGGAAATATTTAAATTCTTTAACTTAAAGGGAATGACTAAGACTTAACATCCAAGTTTACAACCATCATTCTCTTTGCCAGATAAACAAGATAAGTTTCCATGCTTTGTCCCTGCACAGCAGCGATATATTATATCCAGATATCAGAGGTGCAGTCTCCTCCTGGGTACCTCATCTCATGGGCAAGGGAAGGGCCATCAGGTTCGACACCGAAGTCGACAAAGAAGTTTGGATTCAGCTTCAGCCCTCTATTGTCAATATCAACATCGATTTGAAGCATGTGAGAGCCCTTCTGCACAAGTTCTGGGTAGAACTGCTTATCCCACACACTGAAGAGAGAGTTTGTCACATAGAGTCTTTTTCCATCTAGGCTCAGCTGGATCATCTGTGGTCCTCCACGCAGTCGGTTTTCCTGATGAAAATTAATACAAGGTCTATAAGATAAGCAAGAAGATTTATACATGAATTAGTCTGCATGAAAGAATAGTAAGGGGGGAATTGATTCTAGTTAATAAACTTCAACTTCCCATCACTATTGCCTGTAGTGTTCATCGCTAAGAGATAAATATCCCCATGGCTTAACCTAAATTTTTGGGCAGGACTTAACCAAAATCTTGTTGAATAGTGCTAACTTATTGTGAAGCTAATAGAATTATAGGTTTTTACTTACAGGACTGTGTTTCTAACCTTAACTTGAGGCACATCAAATTGTGATTCAGTCCCATCCTCTGAAACGTAAACTGTGTCACTTCCTTTCTGAATCAATCCTCCAACCCAAACCTGCCCAGTAAGCACAGGCTTGCTAGGTTCCTCAATGTTATACTGTCTTACATCCCCATGCAGCCAGTTAACAAAGTAGAGGTACCGATCATCAAGTGAAATTAGAAAATCAGTTATCAGCCCTGGCATTTCCGGTAGAATCCAGTTCTTCACCTTCAGCGATTCCACTGATATCACCACCTGTGAACCATAGTTTGACAAGTTTCCATCTTATTAGTAGCTTGCTTGCTGCAAAGTTATTTTTTTTATAGAAATGATGAAATATTACCTCATGACTCCATGAATCATCTGTATTCTTGAAGAACCTCACTATATTACTGGTTAGAGCGCAGCCGACAAAACCAGTATCTTTAGAAGGGTCATGTAGAAATCTAATCTGCAGATATTAATTTAAGGAGGAAAAAACAAAAGAGATAGTCAATATTTAGAAGCTTCCCTATGCTAAAAGTATGAAATTCAATGCTTTACTTCTAACGGTAGAAGCCCAGTATCGCCTAAGTCCAATGTCTGCTTCAGTTCACCAGCAGACCAGTTGTAAACATGGAGATGCCTCCCATATAGTCCATTAGCCACATGTTCAAGATCAAATCCTTTACTGAAAGCTGCTGGTGCTCCCCATGATGTACTAATCATCGTATTATGCCGAGGTTGATACCAGAAATCATATCCAAATAATGGACTGTGACCTGGTTTCTCCCACCTGTCTTTCCATTTTTCTTTAGAATGAGATAAAATTCTACAAAACTGACTGATCTAAGAGCTAAATATCATTACCTTCCCTTTACATTGAAATCTGAATCCAATAGAAGGAAGCCATTCCCATCTGCATTGCCATCTTTGTCGCCAAGGCAAGACACCATAATGTCACCGGATGCAAGGCAATGGGAGGTGTGAGGATAAGCCAAACCAGTCTCCTTGACAATATCTTCAGGCTCGACCACCTTATGCAACGCCGGAGCTTTCGGATCCGTCAGGACGTCGACGACATAAATGCGACCAGATCTGCTCAGATTTGTGAGATTGATGGAAAATTTGAATAGGAATCTGGAGTTTTTGGAGAGCTTTGGGAGACTTACAGCAATGAAGGCAATATCAAGAAACGCCTATCATTAGATGTGTCGCCATGGCAGGAGCTGCAAGCATTCCAGCCAGAGTGATGCAGTTCATCACCTATATATGGAACAGAAAGTCTGTGGATGACTTGCGAATAGGTTGGCGAGTTAGGATCAACGTCCACTGTTGCCAAGTAATCAGGCTTCCCCTTCTCATGCTCAGTTCCTATAATATTTTAGTTATGGAAACTTATAACCTCTCATGTAAAGAATGAATCTTTGGTAATACAATTGGACTTAAATCAAACGAATAATTGAAGGAATATTCATCAACATATGTTAGACAGAGAGAGAGATTATTATGAGCAAATTTACCGTTATAGACGCAGGTAACGTAGATCAAGGCCTCCGGAGGTCCCTTCATTGCCTCAAGTGGAGAGGCATAGCCGGGGCCCTTCCCCCCTACATGCGCGCAGCACGTATTTCCCTCTCCTCCGGCCGCCGCCGCCACCGTTGTCTTCCGCCCATCCACAGCTGCTCCGGCCATCGTTCTATCTTCTCTCAGGTCGCCCCCAACCTACAAGAATGCTGCCTTATCTAATTGTAACAGGGATCTACGAAAGGATAACAATAATAGGCGTTGTGGGATCGCCAAAGGTATCTTTAAGCCTTTTGGGAAAAGTAGAAAAAGCAAGGGGGCGTGAAGATGAATTGGTAGTGGTGACTTTATGGCGATTTTAAGAAGACGATCAAGTTGCTAAATATTAGGACGACGAGGCGGTATCCTAGTGGTGGATTAGAAAACAAAGCTTGTTTTGTTCTTTGTAGCTGATTTGCTTGATGAAAGTGGACGGATTATCGGCGAAGTGGCGATTGTGCCGTTTGTGGTAAGGATTTGTTTTTTTACGGGGAATTCGGGTGCTTTTTATTTATTTATTTATTTAAATTAATTAAGTTAAATTCATATAATTTATATATGTAAGATTTAAATTTAAGATCTGTTGATTGATAATTAAAATTCTCAACTAATAGATTAAAATGAAATGTATATTTTAGGGGAGGGAATGGGATTGTTTCTACTAATAATAGAATCATAAGATTACAAAATCAAGGAATATTATAATTTTTTGTTTAATTTTAGTGCACAATCTCACAAATAGAGAAGAAGAAGTTCATCAATTAATTTTATATTACAAAATTATTTTTAATAAGATTTTCTTCTTATATGCGCTAATGAAATTCTTAAATCTTCCAACCATACCCTACCTATTTAGGGGGTACGACAATAAGGGATGAGAGAAAACCAGAAAACGTTAAGTCCGTACCAAATTTTGACTTAAGTTTGACAAGATATGCAGTGGAAGTCTCAACGCATAAAAGTATTGGGTGAAGCAATGGATCATCATATGTTTTTTTTTTCCCATTTATGTAGATTGATTTGTTGGTTCATTTGATCAATCTCAATTCATGAACATGTCACCTAAATATTGAATAATAATTCATAGTTTTTTTTTTATTAATTCAATAGTATGATAGAATTGAATCTCTTCTGCCTCCTCTCTTTGGCAGGATAATTTATTACGTGTGGAGTCTTGATAGGAGAATTATCCATATTCTATGAGGATACACAACAAATACAAAGCAAATACACAAAAAAATTGTGTATTTGATGTGTATTTATTGTGTATCCTCAAGGAAATCAATAGTTTATTCCATATGGACTCCGCATGTAATAATCTCTACTTAGGCATGCCTTAAGAAATCTAAGAGTATTGAGTTTTGATATGAAAAAAAAATTTACTTATGCATGAATCTTGATATATATTGAAATTAGAAAATTTTCAAAATTAAATAAAGGACCATTTGAATTCTGATTTCAATAAATTTATAATCAAATTACGATTTTGTTTGGAACAACTTTCTTACTGCTTCTTAAAACATTTTTTTAGTGTAAGAAATTCTAATTAAAAAAAAAACTAGAAAGTTACTTTTAAAGTTGTAAGAAAGATATCCCAAATAATCCTAAATATCTCAATACGACACACATATCAATACCAAAAGTTATTCAATTCAAGTTCAATTGAGCCTTGATCAAGAAGTTGAAGCATAGTTGAAAATTTTGGGACATAAATTAGAAAATCAATTGATTTCTAAACATGCTTACAATCAAATTGGTGTCTTGACAAGACAATTCAAACAAGCCCAAAATAGTTTAGTTTTGATATCATTAATGCACTTAAATATTGAAATAATTATCTACGATCAAGATAATCAATACAAGTTGTCTGATAGTTTTTTAATTTTGGGTACGCTAACAAATAGTTTCACTCTCATAGACTATAAATAGGCCCCGCACCCACCCTACCGCGGTGTCACGCCTCGAGTTCTATATTGGAAGAATTTTATCTCATTTCTTTTTAATATTCATGTTCTCCATTTTCAATTCATATTATTATCTATTTTTTGTTGACAATTGATACTCATTTATAATACGATTATCAACAACTAGAACTGATTAATTGCATCCAAGAAAATATAATTAATTATAAACAGTGGAACACAAAATTTCATTACTATAGTCAATATTAATATTTTATTCCAAAGTTTAAAAATATTATATACAATAGTCACTATCGACTACAAAATAATACATTTAAACAAAAAAACTTTAAATAAAATCAAAATAACATTGCTGCGAAGCCTCAATTCGTAGATTTCTTATCTTTATTTGAAATCTTATAAAATCACGTAATTAGCACAAAAGTCAATCAAGTAATCAAAACTACTTACTGCATTTAATGCAAGGAAAAAAAATCAATATGTATGCTCCAATTTCAGCCCATATCAATCAACAATCAATAGTCTATCAATAAAATCAATAAAAAAATATATGAAATTCATATCAATCAATAGTAAAACCAATATTATTAGTAAAAACAAAAGCGATATATTAAACTATAATAAAATTAATAAAGAAGAGGGATCAATCAATGGACATGTTATGCTATGTTGCATCAGTATCAATGCTAATTCAATTAGTTTTATATTAGTTGCGTCTATCAATTAATTCATATTTTATCATGTCAATACAATAAAAAATATAAATATGAAGAGCAAGACATGATATATAGCTTTAATGTGGTGTTTTCATCCTTCGACCTCACCCGTTACCCAATTGATCATTAGTCTTTAATTTAACCACAACCGTCAACTAATTTGTCATATCGACCTTTATCTTATCATCATTATTCATTATCTTAAGTCAATTCACAGTTAGCTTTCAATAATCATTTAAGAGTCACCATTCTTTATCCATCAGCTTAATTTGGTAAATCAATTACAAGCTAAAATTAGGATCACACCATAAATCATTTTATCTTAAGGAAAGCATATCAACCTATTCTCCTGCGTAGAGTATTATATCTTAAGAGCCAACTCGTATTAATTATAATATTAACAACCATCATTCATTGCTTACATGCAAATGTCAGATTTTGTTTTGAATCAATGGTATCCGCCTTTCTTTAATATATGAAACACAACATGAAATGTAGGTATCTATAAAATATAGGAAAATATGTATGCTAGCCATTAGCTTCAGAAAATCATAACTTTTTTATCCGATAAAATTTAATAATATTATGTTCAAAATGTTTATATCATATGCAAAAAAGTTACATGTTGGAAGTGTGATAAATTAGGAGAAATATATTTTTATGTGTTTTGAAAAAAATTAAATCAGTAGATATGAAATTATTGAAAATAAAAGTAGGTTTTATGTTACTTATTATGATTAGAAGGCTTTTCCCAATTGAAGTAATCAACGAAAATGACCAAAATCTAACTTTCTCTCTCTTCACTCTCTCATCATCCTCACCCTTTGCCTCTCTTCTTTCATGGCAAGCCCTGCGAATGGGGAGGAGGAAATGGCATAGTGCATTAGGCTTATGATATATATATATATATTCATATAGAACGTATTACATTATGGGAGTTACAATAATCAACATAGACATGTTTGTTTGGTAAGAAGGACCGTAGTCGCAGGAGACCGGGGTCAGAAATACCGTTGTCTGTTGATAATGGTCGGACAGACCGTAGTAGGCGACAGAGATCGAAAGGATCGTAGTCGGCAGGAGACCGGGGTCAAAAAGACCGTTGTCTGGTGATAGAGGTCGGACGGACCGTAGTAGGCGACGGAGGTCGGAAGGACCATAGTCGGCAGGAGACCGGGGTCAGAAATACCGTTGTCTGGTGATAGAGGTCGGACGGACCGCAGTAGGCGACGGAGGTCGAAAGGACCGTAGTCGGCAAGAGACCGGGGTCAGAAAGACCTTTGTCTGGTGATGGAGGTCGGACGGACCGCAGTAGGCAACGGAGGTCAGAAGGACCATAGTCAGCAGTATTCTGGGAGAACTGTGGGCACCAGGTGGTGGCCTGGTGGAGCTCAAGGCCTCAAGTAGTGGTCCGACGGAAGTCTGGGCCTCATGTGATGTTCTGGTGGAGCACACGGCCTTTGATGATGATCTGGCGAAGACAAGGGCCTCTGGCGAAGGTGAAGGCCGCTGGTAAAAGGGAGGGTGTCTGGCGAAGGTTAGGACCTCTGGCGAAGGTGAGGGTCTCTGGAGAAGGTGAGGGCCTCAGATGAAGACGTCAGGCCAGAACGTAGGGCCTTGAGCAGAACGTCGGGCCTGAATGTCGGGCCTTCAGTAGAACGTCGGGCCTGGACATCGGGCCTGAACGTCGGGCCTTGTGATGGTGGTGCGGCGAAACTCCGGCGGTGGTCGAGGAGGAGCTTCTTCATTCTCTTCCTTCTCCTCTTCCTTCTCTTCTCTTCTCTTCTTGCTTCTTGCTTGGATCCCCCTCTCAAGAGAAATGAGGGGTCTATTTATAGATTTTATGGAGTGGCATGGCCCATAAATAGGCGTGAGATCAGGGGCGAATAGGGAGTGGTCGAATGGACGGCCGATGCTGAATCCTACGATCGTGCACCGTTCATTGGACATTTGAAGGCCTTAGTGATTTCATAATTCGGTGATCTTGGGCTCGTTGGATTTGTCTCATCAAGCCGTTCGATTCGAGTATAAGCTCGTTAAAATCAGACTCCGTTTGGTAATTCAAACAGTGCTACGAAGCTTCCAATAGCGCTTTGGGTCCTTGATTCGGGCTCATTTGGGCTCGGATTGACTCGAATTTGGTGTCGTTGGATTCACATTTCAGAGACGCTCAATTTGACTATAAGCTCGCTGAAATCGGAGTTCGGGAGCTCCCGGAATTAATTTTTGAAGTTTCTGAACTGGTTTTGCCTCGAGATTCGTGCCCAATCAAGATAATTTTGGAGTACGTATCAAATATAGTATTATTGTGCAACAAAGCCTTCAATGTCATGACAATAATTTCTGGAGCCGCTGTGCTCTAGTTCAAACAGAAATTTAGATTCTTATTTTTAAATTTATTTTAATTATTATTAGGTTGTTACATGCACGGCTCTAAAATAATTATTGGAGAGATTTTAGAGGCTTTAAGATTAATCCAAGAACTTTACTTGACCACCGTTGGACGACCATTATTGTCGGACCATCACCATTCTACCAAAGTCGTTAAGTCACCTATGTTTAACCATCGTTGTCAAAATCCTCCCACCCGACAATCGCCATCAAACTATCAATAATTAACCATTACTAAATCATCATCTTTGAACCATCACTATCT